ACAAATCCTTTTGTTTAAAGATGCTTGTGTGAATAGCCTTTATATAGTTTTGTTGTGTTTGTGAATATGTTTGAGAATAGACACGACTTGCTTTTCCACATCGGAATTCCTCCACAACTTGTAACATTCTAAAACAATATATGGAGGCAATAAACATTAAAGGATTAGTTCACTTATAATGTCCTTATAATTTACTCACCCCCAGGTTATCCAAGATGTTCATGTCTTTCTTTCTTCAGTCGAAAAGAAATTAAGGTTTTTGAGGAAAACATTCCAGGGTTTTTCTCTATATAGTGGACTTCAGTGGGGTTCACTGGGTGGAAGGTCCAAATTGCAGCTTCAAAGTGCTCTACACGATCCCAGACGAGGAATAAGGGTTATTATGGAATAACCTAATACATAAGGGTTATTATGTATATTTAAACACACACACATGCATGTTTATATTTAAGAAAAATATGTTGTGTTTATATATTAAATATTTATATATATATATATATATATATATATATATATATGAATATAAATGTATACATGGAAAACGTGGAAATATTTTCAAAATATATACTAGATGTGTATTTATACATAAATAATACATACACACAGTACACACACATAACCTATTTATGTAAACAAAAACTTTTATTTTGGATGCAATTAATTAATTAAAAGTTAAACTAATTAAGTATTTTACAACCTTGTACATGACGACTGCATGACATTTTACAACAACAACACAATGACAGAAAGCCATGACATTTGTCAACGTTACTTTTACTTACCTTTATGAAAATGTCGAGAGCAAACATACATAAACGGAGATACGTTGCCCAAAGTGATGTTTTTGCGTCTCACCGCTGCAACCCAGGCCACCCGACGCCTCTTTGTTACGGTCCATAACTTTTCTTCCAAGTGGGAAACTTTAAAAACCTTTCCTGGTGGTGAAGCTTTTGACCGTTTCTATCGTGTGACTTAGTATTACAACCTTTCACACAACAAGACCGTACCATTGTCTTTGAAATAAAGTGAATGAAAAATACAATTCTCCAACAATATACTATCCCGGCTCTGATACCTTACAAATGGCGGCTGCACCCAAAATGCACTTCGGTTCTCGCAAGCGTGACGTCACCTGACAAAGACCGATTGGCGGTTTTATTTTTTAAATCTACAAGTATCAGAACATTTTACATTTTAAATGTAGCCTACATTTTAAACAGAATATTGTCATGTTTGTTCTATTTTGCAACAAAATAATTGTTCCAACGAAATCCGTATCATCTGGTGTATGTCTCCAAGCAACATACAGCGGTGTTTAATTAGTGAACGAATCTGCGGCTTTGAACGATTTGGAGAGTCAGTGATTAAATAACCCATTCATAACTAGGCCTACAGCATTTTGCGTCGTTAATGAATGAATGAATGAATGAATGACGTGACGCCTGGCTCATTAAGACAGCGACTTGTCGCCACATATTGGTGGTTTTATTTTTAAATCTACAAGTATCACTTCGATTTGCCATAATGTATTGCTTTATTCCATTAAGTGTATTATTAATATAATAAATGTTAAGAATATGACATAAAACATGACATACAATTAACAAGGATAAAAAAGATTTGCCTCTATAAAGGTAAAAAAATGCACCTGTAAATCAATTTAAGGAGGCAAATATTGTCCTTTAATAGAAAAGCTGTGACTGCGGTCTAAGTGGAAGAGAGGGAGTACGCAGAACAGAAGAATGTTAAATGCCCCAGGAGGTACGCCGCTGGAAAAAGTTTGAGAACCACTGCACTAGTATATTGGGCTCAACAGAAGCATCAGTATCCTCATTTATACCAGCTGGCATTGGCATTTTTATGTTTCCCTGCATCCTCTGTTCCATGTGAAAGACCTTTTCCAAGGCTGGAGAGGTTTTGTCCAAGTAGAGAAATCATCTAAACCTATAGGACCTCTGTGAATGGACACAAATAAACTGCAGAATCTCCACAGAATCTCAAGATTCCCCCTCCTAACTGTTTGCAAGTCGTAAAACTGATCAATGGTCAGCCCAGGAGCCCAATTGTCACCAGACTCACGTAGCTGACTTTCTTGACCTCGGGAACACATGATTCCCCTCACATCCTGCATTCCAAAAGAGATGCGCTCTTTCATTGCAGACAAAGAAACACGGAAACTTGAACAGACAATTTCAAAAGGACAATCATTTAAAGTATAAAGGGTAACTATATTCTCAAATAATGTGTTTTATGTCTTTTATATGCTTGATGTAAGGGAAACAGGTCAGTTTAGCTCAAAGGGAATCATTTATGATTTTATAGGGAATTTGGACAGAATCACTGTTTTACAGCTGATCACTGAGTCGGCCAGCGATTCATTGAACGAGCCGTATAACATCAATTCTGCAATGGATATTAATATCCCAAAGTATAGTGAAAACACTATTTATTAACACAGTAACAAGATCAGCAGTTAAAGACATTAACTTGTAAGCACAAAATTCAATTCAATTCAAGTTTATTTGTACAGCTCTTTTCACGATACAAATCATTGCAAAGAAACTTTACAGCAAATTAAGTTTCTACAATATTTAGTGGTAGCTTATCAGTGATGACTGTCAGTTAATGTTCATATGGCAGAAATATCAATTAAAGACGTAATCAAACAGACGATGAACAGCAATTATTATATGATGCAATCAAACTTATAGCAAAATGTGGTAGTTCTGTAAGTTGTTTCAGGGTTGGCATCATCTGAGGTCCTCTGAGGGGTTGGCATCATCTCTTCTCAGGTGTTCTGGATCCAGACTGAAGCTTGTGTAAATCCTAGTTAAGGCAGGAACAGGGAATCAAATAGTGACATAATTAGCGTAGCTGCTGTTCCAACCAAGCAAAATTGATTTGTTTAACCCAAACTAAAGAATAATAATGTGCATTTGATCAGATATAACTGCAGTACAAGATTATGAGATGCATTATTTGAATGCTTGGCCAAAGAGATGTGTCTTTAATCTAGAT